AGCGGTTCAAAAGTCGCGCGCTTGAACTAAATTCGAACGACCAATCAGCGACTTTCTCGGTCCGCGTCCGTTTGAATTCGATTACCGACGCTTGAAGGTGACGGGTAACGTCGATTCGACGACGAGAGTGACGGTCTTTCCGAGTGGAACGCGTACAAAGTAAACATCGACGGTGGCCTGTGTTCCCTTGGGACTAGCGGGACGAGGGGAAGGGGTACGAGGAATCCCGCGTTCCCGTCGAACGAAGAACGACCAGGAAATTCGACGCTAATCAGTTTGCCATCGTTTGTGCCCGCAGGATGAGTTCCATCCATTCATTGAGGCCCTCCTACCATTCGTGAAGTCTTTCTCGTACACGTGGTTCAACCTACAAGCCGCCAAGAGGCGTTACTACAAGAAACACGAGAAGCGGATGAGTCTCGAAGAGGAACGTCAGTGCAAGGAGGAGCTCCAGGTGAGTGTTTTCATCTTAACCTTACTTCTTTTACTGTAGTCGGTAATGTAGAGCCGTCTCCGGCAACGTTAGATTCGTCGATGACGAATTTAGGATTTTTAAGTTGATAAATTTCGTGCTTCGATGCTCGCGAATTACACGTAGATACGTGGGGTCGTTCGTGAGAACCGGTCGTGTTTACTTTCGGGATATGTTAGTCGATCAGAACAGATGTTTACGCGACGTGTATTGTACGTGCTTTTCCACGAATTTATTGTCGTTTTTCTCGCCCCTCGGCGTTCTACGTACGCGTCAGGAGGATCTCGTTTTGACCGACGTAGTTTCGCACGATGACACGGTAAGAAATACACGAGGCAGTGAAAGTGGTGTCCTTGGCGTTGCGCAATAATACCGCGTTTTGAACAGGTTAGATTCTCAACTATATTTGAGGAGTAAATTTAGACGTTTGCCCGTATATACGTTTCCGAATTATCAAACTTTGCGGAATTAAAGATTATTATAATAGTGAACAAAGCGAGCTGCTTTAGTCGACAAAATATTTACGTAATAGTATCCGTAGCTCGTGTCGACCTATTCCACGAAACGTGAACTCGCGACCGACCAACCGTTTTATTATTATTACTCGAACAATAACATCGCTATCATCTCTCACGTGTTCGTCCACACCACGAAAGCGAGTTTGGACACGTAGACAGGTTAAAAGTCGTAAAAGTAAATGAGACATACGAAAGCCAAGCTTCGGTAGTGTCGCTGCGTAAGTTAACCTACAAATTTGGAAACGTCAAGTTAACGGTGGGTATTTAGAAGCATTTAATACTTCGTGAAATAAAAAATAACTATTTAATATCTACATATGTGCTTTAATATTGAATATACATATACATAGACGATGCATCGCAGTTTACAATATAATTTATCGATTTCGTTTTATTACGTATACGTTCAGCACGCGATTAAACGGGAAGAAACACGTGCATTAATTTTATCGGTACGTTCATACATTTATAGGTTATCTGGCGCGATGTGACTTGCATCAACACCCATTTTCTTTTTCGCGTTGAAATTCTATATCCAAAAGAGTTAAAGTGGTCTGTGCTCAGAGTAGAGTGAAAATTCGATCGTTCATACGTGGCACTCATTGGCCAAGTGGTACATAGAGCGTTGCACGCGATAATGAATCGATACGAGGGATCGGAAAGGCGATAAAAAGAAGTTTCGGTTAGGTTTTCATCGCGTGAATGTCAGCGGACGAAACCGAGACGGCCTACGGCACGGAGGTGTGCTCGGCCCGCTAATTTCATGGTTAAGAATAAAAATAATGAGGTTTCGGCCTATTTCTGGCGCAGATGCGTCCTCGTGACGTGCGCTATCGCTCAGCCTCAAAGCCAGTAGCTCTCAATCGTCCTGCGTCTCGACGGAACTCTTTATTAATAGCACGATTTAGCGCGGGACCAGGGACATTAACGAGACACGGTGTGAATCGCGGAATGAGCCATTGCTTGTTACAATCTAGGGAATTCATAACGGACTCTTCCATTATTCTATAGTGTATTAAACGTTCCGATATCGAAGCTTAGAACTCTGAAATGCAATTGTGGTTAGGTTATGTTAGAATACTTAATCGTCTTATACGATATGTGACTAGCTAGCTTGTAGCTATTTTTCGCTATGAAAATTATGCAATATAAATCGAGATTAAGCGAGATTTGCGATTAGATTTAGTAATTAAACATAACCTAAATTGTCGTGGTACGATCGTACAAATTGTGATATTTAATTATGCTATAGGCTAGGCTTAGCTATTCAATTGCTTTCCGTAATTCGTATAATTTATAGCTACAGATTAGGGGAATAGGATTCGGGCAACCTAACCTAAATTATCGTGTTGACCTATGATCCAACGATACCAGTTGAGGCTTACTCATCCGCTAGAGGGTCTTTAGTCTGTGCTAGTGACTCTCGTGCCTCCGCTTTTCTTTTTTTCCACCGGAACAGGGAATAGAGATTTAGGATGGTGTCGAAAGACGCTTTATCTCTTTTACGCGCTCTGTTCACCAGTTAGAGTGGGCTTCAAACGAAGGTCGTGTTTGACTTATCTAGATTTATAGTCTCAGGAAGTCTAGAGCATTTCTGGCTTCTCTATAAACTCAACCCTTAGACTCCAGCAATAAACACACGAATTCCATACGAATTAGCCTGTCTGGTTGGAACGAAACTAATATCCCGCAGGTTCCCGATAAAATCCCGATAGCCTCAACCGTCTCATCTCTGGCCACCTCCAGAGGCCCCAAAGGGTAACATCCGACCAATCGACTTCCTCTTCGGACTCCGCCAAACGGAAGTTCAATTAAGGGGACCGGAAAAAATGGGATAAAACAAAAACGGGAAGAAACAAAAAAGGTGAAAGAAGAATGGGGAAAAAAGGAGGCAAAGAGGGAAAAAGCGGAAGAGGGAAGTCGGTGAACCCCCGGATATCGAGCGAGGTTGGCGAGTCGGCTCGGTTCGACGAGTCATTGACATTCGAATTTTCGGCCGGACCGCAATCTTTTCCCGTGGTCCTTTTTTCTCTCCCGGCCTTCGCCGCCCCCCCTCGGCAGCCCCCTCCGCCGCCCCCTTCGTCGCTAACGTCCGCCGTGCTTTCTCTCGTCTCTCCACCGCAATTCGTATTCTCCCTCGCGACGCCCGTTCGATCAATATTTTAATTTCGCGATGCTGCGGTATTTAGCGGGACGAAAAGAACGGACGGACCGATGCTCGTGAAAGAAGCGGCCCGCGGTAGGGGTGGGATCGATGGATCCGTGGACTTCAGGGGAAATCGTCGGCCAACGACGATCCTTTTTTTCTGCTCCACCTCTCAGTCTCTGGTTCCTGTCGTACGACTGGCTCGGAGAGGGTTAAATCACCATCGGTGATCGGTGAATAGGGTGCAACTCTTTTGGGGCCTCTGGAGTTGCTCCTTATGGTATTCCCTTGTGATTTGATTTTATTTCTGAGTGGGTTAGACTCTTCGCGTCTTTTATATTTCTGTGGTGATAGGATGACAGTAACTTACGTAGGGTACCCGATTTTTAGTCGCGATTAATGGCTTACCTAACCGACTTACGTAATTAAATTATGTAATATAATAGCTAATGTATTTACTTGATTGTCTCCCACTGTCGGCGTGTCAGTCATCGACGAGGCTTAAACGTAAAGCTCAGTGACCGTCATGGGGTGAACGTGTTAACCTCTTAGCTCTAGGCGCGCTTGCGATCGAACGTGATTGCTGTGGTTGAAGTGCATCGTTAAGTCTTTCAATGACGTGTCATGGAAAACCTTGAACGTGTTAGGAACAAAAGAAAAATATTTAAGAATTAAATTAAAAATAGGATTCATACGAGTCATCAAGAAATATTTTTCCTATTTTTATTTTTTTTTTTTTGATATTTATCAGAAGATAAATAATATACAAAATTCGCAAATTACTTTATTTCTTAATATCTGTTAGTATAATATATTTTTGTGGGTGAAGATAATTGTTTTCTGTCGTAATTATAACACGTGCTGGAAATATTAGCACGTAATATATAGATTTTAGATAAGATCCTTCGGTTCGATGCTTCTGCTGGACGGTAGCTAATTTTCCAAGTCACGAACCGGGACTTTGATGGAATCGCGATCGGCGTGATACAAATTTTTCCCGGGGGTCGCTGCGTGGAAGTTTTTAAAAACGAAAGTGCCTCGGAGCCGTTGGCGCGCGCGGGTCGCGTTGAATTTTACATGAAGTACATTTAATCTGCGTCGCACGAAGCCCTGCAGGCTCGGCCGAGCCCTGTACCATTATATAGACGGGCTTTATGAAATTGTGACCGAGACGGAACACAGGCCCTGCTGCCCATAATCGACGAGTCTGCTTACGAGTCTGTGCCTTGTCTTTTTAGCATTTTTAATTAACTTGCTATGATTTCCCTTTTCGTCGAATTTATGTCGCGTTGTTCGGGTCTAATTTTAGATTTTAATTCCGATTTTTTTCGTTTCCTTAATCGGCTGGTGTCTTCGAATATTTTCTATAGTCCGTTGTAACCCTTTTATTGCTACCTTTTGTTTTTAATATTAATTTCCTTATTAACCTTCGTCGATGGTATTTATTTTATTTTAGTTCATGCGAAAGTGTCGAAATTTATTGTCAAATCTGCAATTTTGAACAACAGTGCAGTCTTTTGTATCGCAATTTTTGTTTCAATTGATTAGGGTTTCTCTTAAATTTAATTTGAAATTCGAAATTTCCACTGGTAATTTATTTCGTTCCACTGGTAATGTTGTCACTGGCTTTAAATAAATTAGAGTATTAAAAAAATTTTCAAAATATCAGATATTTTCTATGGTGGAATTCAAATTTACAGACAGGACATTAAACAAGAATCTTTACTTTCACACAACCATTTCTCTACTCTCTAGATTTGGTCTGGCTCATGTGAGGTTTAATTTAAATTCCTACTGACCACAGGTTAGATTCCAGTTAAATACACCTAAAGTTCGTACAAGACTATGTTAGGACGAATTTAAATCGTAATTAAGTTTAGGTTAGGTTCGAATAAAAATTCACTTAGATTCGAATCAGATTTGGTTTAAATTTTAATTGAATTTAGGTTAGGTTCAAATTAAATTCACCTAAGATTCGTCCCAGACTCTGTTAGGTCGAATTTAAATTGCGATTAGTTTTAGGTTAGGTTCGCATCTGACTTAGTTCAAATTCCAGCCGAACTCAGGTTAGGTTCAGTTTAGATTCGATGAAGGATTAGGTTAGAACCAGAATTGGCTTAGGTTCGAATCAGGGTTAGGTTAATTTGACTTAGTTTTGATTCAGAGTTCCTCTGAATCGAAGTTAGGTTATGTTATACCTGACTCGCATTAGTACCCAAGTTCCTTTTACGTTTCGGAACTCAATCCAGATTCGACTCAGGTTAGGTTAATTTGACTTGGGTTTGATTTAAAATTCCTGCAGATCGAAGTTAGGTTAT